GGGGGAGGCATGGGCCCCGGGTGGTGAGGGTGGTGCGGATGATGGTGCGGGTGGGGGTGCGGGGGCTGGCGGGCCGCGGTCCGGGCGAGCTTGAGCAGGTCCACGGGCACCGCGGCGCCGGGGCAGCGCTTCTCCAGATACTCCTGGAAGCCCTGCACGCCCATGACGGTGGTGTTGAGCCGGTGCGTGTGTCCGGGAGCGGGCTCGCAATACGTTCGGTACGCCGTGGTTGGAACGGGGCGAGGGGCGAGACGAGCTAGCTAACTGCGAGCTAACCGTCTGCCCAAAGACTGAGTGACAAGTGGTCCGCTTTAGCGACACCCCAACGAGTCAGGCGACCGATCATGCGCGATCGCCGCCCGATTGTGCTTGACGACTTTCGTCCGCTCCCCTCCACGGGACCAAACAATGACGCTTCTCCGATTTTTTTTAGGCGCTCGTTGGCAGCGCCGCGTCCATCTCTGTGGGTTTTGCCGAGAGAGCCACAAGGCCGGCGGAGCTACGAGGAGTTGTCAGTTTCGGGCTCGCTCCGACCGCAACATCGCCAGCTCTCTAATACGCAGTCGCTGTCGGGTCGAGTCCCAAAAGTGTCCGATATCGACGCAATACGTGGAGAAATGCTCACGCGTGCGATGAACGCGAGACTGCGCACTAGTTAGCAGGGCTGGACGGCCACTTCGCGGACATATTGAAGCGAGCGGCTAGCGCGACTCTTTCAACTGACAGCGACAATATTGGCCACACAGTCAGCTCGAAAGCGGGTTCAAATTCCGCATTTGAGTGACCAGCTCTGAAAGACGATGCGCAATAAAACTCGTGGCGTGTTGTATTTGCCAAGTGTGTACGTATGTGTGCACGCGAGCGAGCGAGTGCGCGCGCATCTGTGTTGTGTGAGTGTGTGAGCTGCGTGCGTGCGTGCGGCGGCTAGCTGCTGGCAAGGGTCCCCGGCGTGATTTTGACGCGTCAACTCCCGACACAAGTCCGGGGCGGATCCGACGCGGAATGGGATGGATGTTTGACGGATTAAAAGAAAATAAAGTAAAAGAAGAGAACGCGAAAAGCCCGATGGTGCCTCCCTCGCTGTCGTCCGGGCTCACGGCTCCATGTTGCGGAGGAGAAGCTCACTTCCAAGCGACAGCAGCCATCTTGCGACTTCCTCGCGGGCCAGCCGAGTGGGAGAGAAGGCGGAGGAAACGCAAGCGGGAGGCGTCACCGCTGCGCCTCCCGGGAAATGTAGTTCCATACTAACATCGCCGCCGTTTCGCATCGGGGAATCCACCTCCCCTAAAAAACTACAAATACCGACGCTACGATAGCGACCGATTGTACCAGACTCGTCAAGCCGAGAGGCGATTTCTCCCAAAAGTGTTCGAATTCACAATGAAGCGAGTAAACGGCGTTTATGTGACAACATCAAAATGCGATCCGCAAGTGTCTTCCCCAACACGTGAATATTTACAAGTGCTTTTTTTAAACCGATATTGGTCAGATAACCTGGATACTCGTAAGCTTGACACATTTACGTATTGATGCGAGGGGTTGGCTGAGTGTTGATTTCCCCCACGAAAATGCCGCGCTTCAGATCTTCCGTCAGTAACAGGTAGGATGGCTCGCTTCCGTTCAAGTTGGCGTGTCTGTCTCCCCTCTCCGGTCAAAAGCGGCACTGCAAGCCCTGACGCCGGAAATATGAAGCATCCACTTCCTGGTCAAAGTGTGTGGCACTTGGCTGTTCTTGCATGAGAGGACGGTAGTTTATTTGAACCTTTTTTATTTTTTTTTTAATCTAGCGAATGGCTGAAACATTTTTTGTTGACATTCAAAAGATATTCATTTCAAATTTGACGATTCAATGAAAATGAATGTGAAAGTTATTTGAAAAAGTGAATGACAAAAATGGACAAATTTCACATTAAAACACTGTCCAAGTAGATACTCAAACTTTAGGGTTGCGAGGATTGTGATTTGCTAGTCGAAATTATGATTTTAAAATGCAAACACTGGCAGTATTGTGAGACATCTTTAAGATGATCAGAGCCTGGAAATTAAAATTATTAAGTATTAAAAAGAACACATTCTCATATGAATAAATGTAATTTGTCCAGATGTTATTTCAGTCATGTATCAATTTGGTAGCCCTTCACACAATCAGTACACATGAAGTAGCTCTCACTCTTAAAAAGGTTGCTGACCCCTGATCTCGTGTCTGAAAAGCGTGATCGGTCGTCACTAAATTTCATATGCGCAGCCTTTCTTATGCCTTTCTTACACTTCAAGATGGGTAAACAGAAAAGCAATTGGCACAATATTTTTGAAAAAGCTCCTATGAGGAAAAGCCATGATCACGTCCGCAAAATACCAAATATTGTACCGTACTAATCACTAAATTGTGACTTGGTTTCTCCACTGACTCCCCTGTGGACTGAATGAGTGTTCGCGAATGGAATTGTTGAATAATCAAAGAATAAAAAAAAAAAGGGTTCCTCGGTGGTAGTGCAGCAGATTTACCGACAGATGGCACTGTTGCCCTGTGAGCGCTCTGTTTGTGGTGAGGGATGACGTCAGAGTCGCCGATGGCGTCGCCGGCCACTCGCCTGACTTCAGCGACGGTGTGGATATGCGGGTGCGAAAGGTTGCGAGCCCTGCGACCGACCGGCGTGTAGTCCGCCTTCCGCCCGAAGTCAGCCGGGAAAGTCTCCAGCGGCACCAGCCCACGACCCTCTTCGGGATAACCCGTGTTGAAAATGGTTGGATGGGTGGACTGATTGTCAAATGTGATTTGGCGTCTCCCACTTCTGGGAACCTTTGACATTATTGGATAGATTCAAAATGAGAATTAATACACAGCGCACCCAAGATAACTTGAAATGAAAACTTATTTTTTTTTTTTTAACTCTTTATGAGGGAGGAATCGGCATAGGCCCTGCTTCCCGTAACTGCACGTCTCTGCGTGCGTGCCAAATACGTGTGTACAGTCACGAATTATTTCTACCTAACGCGGTCAAGACGTATTTGCTCTGGGTTCCTTCGACTGGCTAAAATCGGATTTGTGTCGTGGATGAGCCGGTCGGCGCGTGGGAGAAAGATTGACTCGTGAGCGCTCAACAAGTGGCCGCGTGCGTCTTCGGTCCGTCCAAGATCCCAAACCCACCGGCGAGGAGGAGAGGCAGCATGACGGCTCGCGTCTTCCACTACATCAAGCCTCTGCTTGGCAACCGGTTGCTGGCCAAGGTATGACGCCCCCCACGCCCCCCCCCCCCCCTTCCCGCTCCTCTTCCAACGTCGAGTGTGGCAAGTTTCCTTTTTTATTTTTGTCACGTTTGATTCGGATTGGGCGCCTGTCAGCGGATTAACGGCCCGCTGCAGTGAAGGGTCCCTTTCGTGTCGCCATCCCTTTAAGCACCTGCACGTCACTCAACCATCTTTGATCGCAGAGTGGCTGTAATAGACTCCACTGAAACTACAAGTCCTAATTGAACTATTGAAGTCAAAGTCAAAAAGTAGCCTACGGCAGACAATGCAGTGCACGAAGTCCAAGGTGCATTTTTTTTCCTGACATGGCGCAATGAAATACACTCTTTATTCAAAATAGTTTTGCTCTTTCGTTGACTTGGAATACGAAAGTCTTATGGGATAAGAGCTCGCAAGCTGGCTTGACTTTTCGCCGTTTAAAAACATGCTTGAACATGTTGCCAAAAATTCTAAATCAGAAAAAGATGCGACGAAGCATTCCTTCGAACAATTCTCAACTTGGGTCGTGGGGAATATCTTGCCTCCCAGAATCTGTTGCGTGCTCCAAGTGTTCTTTCCATCACTCAAAACCTGAACCACGGTTTACTCGGCTCTCTATTTCTGGCTTTTTACGTCGTGTCGTCCACAGAAGTCGAAAACGACGTAACGAGCCTTGTGACAAAGCAGGGGGTAAAAGGGACAGATTTTCGGAGTAAAAGTCAAATGTCACCCGGATAATGAAGACTGGATTACAGATGCTCGAGAAACGTAGACCAAAGCATTTGCGCTTGGTTCCCTGCCAGCACTTGCACCCTCGTGCTGTCGCAAATCAGACGTAAACGTACGCCCGAGTCGAAGGAAGGCAGAAATCGCTGCACAACTTGGCCAATCTGCTGACGGTCCCTTCTTCTCTTTGGATCCGCAGGCCTGCGCTTCGGCTTCCTGCCGCCAGAAGTCCACTTCCACCGTGAGCAACGCGCACACCGCCGACACCAACTGTTCCTTCTGACCTTTGAGGCCACTCGGTTTTTTTGTTTCAAGACATCGAGTGTTTGTGTTCCACACTGTCCTTCTCATTCACATCCCTCCCCTTTTCTCTCCTGCGCCACAAATGCATCTTTTCCTTTCCTCCATCCAGACTCGTCAGATGATCGTGAGTACGCGTCATTAGCGCGCAGGTCCCAGACATGCAGCGGGATCCCGGTGCAACGGCGTACATGCGTGTGTGTGTGAATTGCAGCCTCCGCCGGCGCAATACGGAGGCAGGCACACGGTGACGCTGATTCCCGGAGACGGCGTCGGGCCCGAGCTGGCCAAGCACGTGCAAGAGCTCTTTCGGTGCGGAGGCGACAAAACGCGTGATGTCACAGTCGGCCGTCATTCCCTCCGCCGTCAACGACGCAGTCCGGTGTTTCCCCAGCCTTCATCGCGCCAAGGCACATATTTGACTTTTCACAAAAAGGAAGGACGCGGCACATCTCCAAACCAAAAAAGTCCCCCAAACTCGACAGCGCGCCTCCATTTTCTTTGGCTTTGAGACGAGGTCTCTGGAGCTCCGGGGTCCGCTGGCGGCGGGACGTGCCCGGAACACTCCGGAGGGGAGCCGGGCCAAACGCACCCTCGGCATATGCCCGAGCCGCCTCGTCCGGGGCCTCCCGACGCAGAGCCTGCGGAGGAAACCGATTTTGGCCGCTCGTTATCCCGGACCTTGTACTGTTGGGCATGACCCTCAGCTCGTGCTCATAGGTGAGGGTCGGGAGGTCGATGCCCCGGTCAGCCGAGAGCTTTGCTTTCGGGCTCGGCTCCTTCTCCACCCCGATAAAGCAATCTCGGTTCCGCATCACCGCAGACGCCGCATTGATCCGTCCTCCCCTGACTCGTGAACAAGAGCCCAAGGGAGCTGAACTCCTCCCCTTGGGGCGGGAGCTCATCCCCGACCAGGAGCGGGCGCTGCGCCCTTTTCTGACCGAGGACCGGGGTCTCAGGTTTGGAGGTGCCGACTCTCATTCGGAACGCTGCGCACTGGGCTGCGCAGCGCTCCAGTGTAGGGGTGGCTTCCTACTGGGAACCGCCACCCAGAGTTTCAGTCCCTTGGCATCCTTTGCCGTTCTTGCGAGCCATTCCAGCCGGTTGCGTGGCGCCGTTCTTTACGAGCGCGACCCTCGTCCATTGCGCGTGTTGCGCTCATTCCATTCCCACGCACCCTCGGGGATCCCGCTGAGGGTGGAGAGCGGGTCCGCTGTTCCGCAGCTCAGTGACAAATGGCATCCGATAATAAGGAGGACGTCGTCTCGGGCGACTCACAAAGGCGTGACGTATCTCTACGGCTTTCTTGTATTTCTGGCGGAGGAGCAAAGAAATTGTTCTTCCTGCCTGTCGATGGCATCGATCGACAAAGAAAGATAGATTGGAAAGAAATGAATTGAATTTCACCCGTTTGGGCTGGGAATCGGCCATCTCAATCTGCGCAAGATGTTTTCCGCTGGCAAAACTGCACACACCAACATACCGGAGCGGTTTTTCCCTCAGGTTCTGTTGCGTTCCGCTGGACTTTGAAGTCGTCGACGTGGACTCGTCCTCGGCCTCAGAAGCGGACGTCAACAACGCCATCGTGGCGATCAGGCGCAACGGCGTCGCGCTCAAAGGTAAACTTTGCTCGCGTTCGCGTGCGTCTACGGCTCCGATCCCGCGCGGTTGCGCGACTTTGATTTTGATCCGCAGGCAACCTGGAGACCGACCACAATTTACCCGCCGCCCACAAATCCAGAAACAATCTTCTCCGGTGAGTAGGGCCCGTCGCACGCCGACGTGGAGATTCGGCGCGCCCTCCGTTGCGTCCGCCTCGCCGCAACAAGCGTCTGCGCACCGGCGTGAGATCTCTGTCCATTCACTCTTAGCGGCTCGCTGCACGGACCGAAATATCATTTGCTTGCCTTGTCCTACCTTCGTCACTGAGCGGCGAGGCAGGAGAACAGAGCGAGTTGTTCTCATCTCTCATGACAAAGTTGCTCCTCACGTCGGTAATCGTTGCCTGCGTGGCAGCGAATAAGATGTCCTTCTAACAAGGACCATTCTCACGTGACTCTTTTCCTCGCCGTCCTCTACGACGGGCCAAGAGATTTCCCTTCCTGTCAAATACGTGCCTCGGCTCAATAAAGGCGGAGAAAAGTCTGACCCGCGCGTCCGCCGCCGCATCTCTTGGCAGAACCGCTTTGGATCTGTACGCCAACGTGATGCACTGCAGGTCTCTGCCAGAGGTGCCGACCCGACATCATAACGTGGACATCGTGATCGTCAGGGAGAACACCGAGGGCGAGTACAGCAGCCTGGAGCACGAGGTGAGCGCCCGCTTTGGCGCTCGGCCCCGACCTCCAAACCTCCTCAACCGTTTGCGGAGGCCGGCGACCCGCTTGAGTCACAGGCTTGAGTCCGGTCGCCAACGTCAGGACCGCTTTGGCCCAAAGCGCCCAAAGGCTCGACCCGACCCCACTCGACGAGTCTTTTGCGTTGAGGGTTCCAAATCTGCATTTTCAATGCGGTTGCGCCTTTGTTTGAAGAAGAGGCAAGAGTTGCGCCCGCCTCGCCCGGTCAAGGCGTCCGCTCGCAACGCCCCGAGCGTCTGACGCTTCCCGGCCACAAAAGAACATGGCGCCAGAGAAAGCCTGCCATATTTGGGTGTTTATCATGTTGGAAATGTCGCCGGGACTCGTCCTTGTGGATTTTTTTGCCGCCAAAACTCCATCCAGACTTGCTGGAACCTCGCACCTGTGCCCCCTTGTGCAGAACGTCCCGGGAGTGGTGGAATGTCTGAAGATCATCACCAGGAGCAAATCGTTACGCATCGCCGAGTACGCCTTCAGGATGGCTCGTGAGAAAGGACGCAGACGAGTGACCGCCGTGCACAAGGCCAACATCATGTCAGCGTCCCCGCGCAAGCCGCGCCGCGGCGCTACCCCCCCGCGCCCGGCTTGATCTCACGTCTGCGTTTGGAGTAGGAAGCTGGCCGACGGCCTGTTCCTGGCGTGCTGCGAGGAGGTTGCCGGCGCTTACCCGGACATCGCCTTTGACAGCATGATCGTGGACAACGCGACCATGCAGGTGAGCGGGGGGGGGCAAAGGACAAAATGGCCGCAGTGGCAAAAATACTCGCGCTCTGTCCATCAGTAAGAGTGCAGATTAAAAAAAAAAAAGTATATACTCTGGTCACGGCAGAATGACCGATTCAACTCCTTTGCCTAACCCAAAGTACAACATTGCATGAAAGTACAATTTTGGGGGGGGGTATTTGTGAGTGTCCATGACACACACGGTCCATGTTTGGTAACTTGGCACAACCGCCGCAAAAAGTCCTGCGCTCGTCGTGCGAAGCAAAAGGCTCGAGTACGTATACCTGAGAAATGGGGTGAAGTACTGCAAGCTTTGACCCCCGGCTTGACCTCTCAGCGCCGCAAATTGCAAACGTGCGCGCGCGTGTCTCAGCTGGTTTCCAGGCCCCAGCAGTTCGACGTGATGCTCATGCCCAACCTGTACGGCAACGTGGTGAGCAACATTTGCGCCGGGCTGGTGGGCGGACCGGGCCTGGTGCCCGGAGCCAACTACGGTCGCGACTACGCCGTCTTCGAAATGGTGAGTTCTCCGTCCGTCCACTTCTCCTGCCGTTCGCGCTCTTCACTCTTGGCGGGGTGTTGAGAGCGTCGCCCTTTTCGGGATATTCCGGCATCAGGATCGCAACTCCTGCGATGAATTGGCGATTGACTCCTTTTCAGTTTCATGATTTGCAATTCTAACTGTGACTGACGACATAACCGGCGCTGGGAGAAGAAAACGAATGACCAGGACAAACGGCACAGTGGAATTACAAACGAAACGTTGTGACCAGTGTAAAAAAAAAAAACAAAAAACAACCACCGCCACAGTCCAAACTTTCACGGCGAAGGTGTCATTCTGTGACGACATAATGCAGGTGCCTGCTTTTGGAATGCGGGAGGTCGCCACGGAAGCAAAATGTCGCTTTTGACTTCCGTTCGTCGCGACTTTTGGACGACACGCATTTCGGACCGGGCCAGGTCGGCGTACGGGGGCGTCGCTCGAAACGCCGACCGCGAAAGGCCAAGGCGTACGTGTCATCTGGGTCGGCCCGTTGAAAAGCCTCCGCTCCTTTTCTCCCGAGCGCCGCGGAGGCGCCGTGCGCACGCACGCATACGCTGCATGTCTGCAACCGTTTTGCCGCGGCGCTGCGCCCGCAGGGCACCAGGAACACGGGGGGGAGCATCGCCAAGCGCGACGCGGCCAACCCCGCCGCCATGCTGCTGGCCTCCTGTCTGCTGCTGGACCACCTCAAGCTCGGCGCCTACGCCGCCATGATCCGACGGGCCGTCCTCCGCGCTCTCAGCGAGTCTCGGGTAGGTGGGGCTCGTCGCCCGCCATCCGTTGGGCCGGCGCGGGGGCCGGGTGCGACAGTCAAGGGCGGGTTCCGTCGTGGCCATTGGAGACGGCCATGCGGGCTCATTGAATGGCCACGTCAACGTTGCCAACAAAAACGGGGCGTGGGGTTTGTCATCAACCAAATCGATGGCTCTCCTTGTCCACATGCCAGGCGAGACATGACCTCTGCCGCTCGATGTCAAGGTGGCGCCATACTTGCATGAAATCCGCTTGTTGGATTTTCACCCGACTCCTGCGGATTCCCTTGAAGCGCTTCAGCGTATACATTCCCGCTTTTTCGGTTCGTTCGACGACGTTCCCACGGAGAGCGCCCGACTCCGTCCGTGATTCATCGATTGACATTCGGATCTTCCAAAAACTAAATTGACCCATAAACGACCTCGCTGAAATTCGTGCTCCTTTCGATGGCACGGCGGGGCGCGGAAGAGCGGCACGAGCCGACGCTTTCTCGGTTTGAAACGAAGACGTGGGGCGGCCCGGCTCGGGCGGTCGAGCGCCCCACGAAGCCCCGGTCGCTCCCGATGGTCCTTCGGCGGCGATGCTCGAAGCGCTCCGGGGTGCCTCAAGCGCCAGACAAGAGAAAGCCCGCGAAGCGTCTGTCGGCACGCAGCCGCAGATGTTGCCGAATCACTTTCACCTGTTGCGGATGATGAAAGAGCGGAAGCGGCCGGCCGATTTCGACCCGCCCCCTTCAATTTGCCGACGCGGCATCAAAGCGCTTCTGACAGGGGCGCGATTGCGCGCCGTGACTGAGAACGAGCTCCAGCCGCCGCACATGAGCGAGGCCGTTCGGGTTCGCCGCAAAACCATCTCAGGCCCTGCGGTTCAAAGTCAAGGCCCGGGGGCCAGATCTGGCCCGCCACATCACTTGATGTGGCCCGTCGAAGCAAATCAAACATGTCCCCTTTCATGATGCTTGCTAAAATCTCGACCAACTTTTTGAATTGTCATATGGAAATAAATAAGAGCGATATTGGAAGCATTTTTTTGTGACCAAAGCCCTCGTGACACAAACTTAAACAATCGTTGAATGAAGCATTCTTCCTGACTTGTTTACATGTTGTCACAGTCATAACGGCCCTCCAAGGGAAAGGCCAACTCCAATGTGGCCGGTGATGAAAATGGCTTTGACACCCCTGATTTAGGGCCTCGTTTTGGAGACGAGTGCGCTTCCTCGGTCAAAAAAAGCTTGCTTCCAAGTCGCGCGATCCGTATCGCGGATTTTGTGCGGGACCAAAGGTGGTTTTATATGTCTGCGGGCAGCCCCCCTGTCTCCCTTTCATTCATGCTTGCTTTCATGACAAGGAAGGGAAACATTTTTTTCAGCTTGTTGAACATTGAAAATGTTTGATTCATTCAACCGTACGACGGATGGTGCGTACGTAGCGGCGTCCTGGAAGTTTTCTCAAAAAATGTATCTCCTTTGCCTTTTCTGTGTATCGGGATGGGGGAGGGCAACGCATCTGTTCCAATTGTAGCTCGGCAATTTGACTTTCAGGCTTTCCCGAATTTCCGAGAGCATTCTGTTGGTGACGTGTCTTTTTGTCGCCCAGCTGCACACGCGGGACCTGGGCGGCCAGGGCTCCACGTCGGAGGTGGTGCAGTTCATCATGAAGGCCATTCAGAGCACCGGCCCGCTCACGGTCGGCGTCTAGGGAAGCTACGACGGAGGCGGCCGCGGGCTTCGCCGTTTTTGTTTGCGTCCGACTCAGCCTTTGTTCAAGCTGCCGAGTGCGATGGGCGTTTCCTTCGAGCTAGTCATTGGGACTGGAATCTCTGTAAAGACCACCTTCTTTCTTTCAGATTAAAACGCAGCTGGCCGTCTATCGGCACTGTGAAACATTTCTGACGCTTCCGATGCGCTTCTTGTTTTTCCAAGTGGCACACTGGCTGCCTTCCTTTCCCCCTCACGAACTGATCACGCTTGCAAAGATGATCGCGAGTTCATTCCAAATGCCTCATACCGCTAACTTCCTGTCCATCTGCATAGGTGTCATTGTTGAGAGGACAAAGCGATAAACGGATCCAGGTGACGGACAGAGTAGAAAGATGCCAAGACGAACTTAAGATTCTTATACAGCAGGCGAAAAAACATGAAACCAAAGTTCCCGTTACCGCAGTATGCTTGGGGGCCCGACGGAGTCATCGGGAAAATCACCTGCCCGATCGAGAATCACCGGTGATGAATTTCAAATCAGGATAGCATGTGAAATTAGCGACGGAAAACGACTTGTTCATTTTGGCGCTCAGCATCAGCGTGGGCGGTGTTACGTCAGAAAAGTCATGAGGTCGAGTGAATCCTTGCTTGAAAAAGCCACCGAGTTAGTCATGGGATGACTTGATCACAAAAGTAGCTCGTTACTGGGCAAAATCGATCTATTCACTGAGCTTCAGAGCAAATCATTTTCAAAAGACATTTGAAATGAGCACACCCACCAGGTAGTTGTGCGAAAAAAACGTCAGTGTTGACGGCACTCCCAAGTTGGTTAAGCCCAAGTAAAAATGTCAACACCATTTATGTGCCATCCATAAACTCCCAATATTAGACCACGTGTCCCGTCAGCGACATGTCGCTCTGTGCCACATCGCAGAGGGGCGGGACGACATATTCAAGAAACAAAGTGCTGTTTGAATTCTAGCCATATCTTCAGAATTGAGGACGTGTTTTTTTTCGTTCTGACATTTTTCAAAAAGCGGGCAGAAATGTGCGTGGCCTGTGCGCGGCTGTTTGGGGACAAGTAAGGTTTGGAGTTGAGACAAGCCGAGGGAAGGGCCACGTGTGCCATAAAAGCCATTTCAGCAGCACCACCCCCGTCTGCCGGGCTGTTTGGCCACCGCGAATAGGCCCGGTGGACGGCTCCCCAATCTCAAGGTCGGGCCACGGCAATCGGTCAGTCGCATCGAATCGTCTTCCTCCGTGTACATAACGATGACACTTGCATCTCCCCAAATACCTCCGAAGTCTGTCGCGCGTGTGCGACAGACACGCCGGAGCTAGCTTTCAACACTTTCGGGGCAGTCAAAGAAGAGTTATCCCGCCGTGCGCCCAATCAACATCGGGAAAAAAAAAGGAAAACGCGACGACAGAGGAGATTCCACTCCGCGTCGTATGCCAAAACAGATGCAGAACACACATTTTGAACAAGCCAATACCACCGATGGAGTGCTTTGCACTCTGGAGGCTGCAGCCGAGTCACGTCAAATGACAGTCTCAGACGTTCTGGGCGAAACAATTCAAAATATGTTTTCGCTGACGGCAGCAAATTCAACTCTCACGACCTGAGACGGATCGTCTGCACAACATAGACCGAAAGAATTTCTTCACCTCAAAGAAAAATCCTGAATATTAATATACAGGAGGAGATTGATAAAGGCTGTGTCTAACTTCATAGGTCCACCGAAGGCCGCATGACACCACGGTTGACTAGTATCTCTCTTTAAAAAAAAAAAAAAAAAAAAAAGATTCAAAATGACACAAGACAACAAACAGAATCAAAGAAGAAAAAGTACCACGAGTGATGGGCAAAATGACACTGGGTTCAATGCGTGGGTCCAAAGTGGGTGTGGAAAATAGTCTGGTTGGAGGCGCGTGTCAGTGACGTCATTATCAAATGACCGACGGAAGTGACGTCTCGTTGGGGCTGTGCGTGTCGAGCGAGAAAAATCACGTGACAGGAGAAATGAAACCTAGCTTGGGGCGCGCGTGCCGAGCGGTAAGGTCACGTGATCAAGTACAACACAGCATTCGCTCATGATTTACCACAAGGTTCAAAACGGGTTAAATCTGGCGCCCAAATTGAGGTGTTGAGAGAGAGAGAGAGAGACACGTACATTTTGTTCGGCGAGAGATTGGGAGGAGTTTTGTTTGGCGAGTTAATAACAAGAGTTCTTCATCTTGAGTTAGCTATTAAATTGAGTTCGTTCGTCAGTCAGGTAGTTATCCATTCATTCATTTCTAGACCCAGAGAGAGAACGTTCAGGAAAAGTCAGAACTGCCAAGCGCTTTGTTACAGTGCAGCCGTTGTGAAAGCGTTACAGAAATAAAGACGCATTGTTCGTTCCGTTGCCTATCCAGAGATAGTTGACATAGATATAGCTCTCGGAAAAGTGGTTTTAAAGTGCACTGCCCTAACAGATCATCTTGAATGTACAGCAGATGAGAACGCATGAAACTAATCTGCCCCTGTGTCGCAGCACGGTATAACGCGTGCCGGCGACCGACTACTGCCGTCCTACTATTGTGCACAGACTTGTTACATAGATAAGATTGATATGTCACGTTGGGCGGTACTCTCGCGTTTTCACGGCCCTCCATCTTCAGGATGACAGTCGAAAAAATGCTACATTGTGACATTGTTGAAAAACCTTTAATTCCTTCATTCTACCGCCATAAAAATATCACAGTTACAGTAATTAGTATGACACTTGAAAACCCAAACAGCCTATTTTCCAGACATTTCATTAAAAAAAAAAACGCCCCTCCTCCACAATGTAAAACTCAAATGCAAAAAAAAAAAGGATATATGTACGAAAGAAAACTTGGTTGTTCCCATCCCCTCTTCACCGTGAAAGGCTTCGGGTTTTGTGTCTCGATCCCTCAGGGCAGCGCGGAAAGTTGTATCGATCATATGTGTGTGATGAAATTGGAGCCTCCGACTCAGCGGACGGACAAGCATTTGGCCACCAGAGGGTGATGTCGGACCGCAAGTGGCACTGACGTCGTCGCGAGTTCATTTGATTGCTCAGAAAATGATTTGCCAACTCCCAATAATGTGTCTTTGTGTATCGACACAGCGATAATGAACAAACCCTCCAGTCGATGGCAGAAGGCACGAGGAACCTTTGGATCATCACTCGATGCCGTCCAAATACGTACAGCGGAACGACTGCCTTGAATCAATCCCAACAGGCCCGCATTGCACACGAAGAGACCATCTGGAATTTGATTTGGGTTTACTTTTGTCCGATGAAACGTTTTTGCTTGTAAAACGCGGGCCTCGTAAAGGTTGGGAAAATGCACCGATGCGCTTTGCGAAGCCAAAAAGTTAGCGAAAGATCGAGAGCAACGCGAGGAGATCGGGGGAGAAAAGGAACCAAGTTATCATTCACAAATACGTGGCTAATAGTAGGGAAAAAAAAGCTAAATGATATTTTCGCGCTTTGCGAAGCCAAAAAGTTAGCGAAAGATCGAGAGCAACGCGAGGAGATCGGGGGAGAAAAGGAACCAAGTTATCATTCACAAATACGCGGCTAATAGTAGGGAAAAAAAAAAGCTAAATGATATTTTATCTTGCCGGTTTTGGTGTTCGCTAATGGCAAGTGCAGGATATTGTTGGCACGTGTTTCATCACCGTCATCCTCTCCTAAACTGAAAAACAAAACCAAAAAAGACGACACGCGGTGACTTCAGCCGCTTGTGAAACTAATTTGACACTTTCTGTAAGTGAAATAGAAAAACCACCACACTGGCACCTTCGAATTTGATCGTCCATCTACTTGGAGCTCACATATTTGTCCAGGGCTACGTGCGTGTGCTTCACATCTTTCAAATACTGTACTGACGTCGCCCCGTGAGAGGCACAAACCCCTCAGGCACGACAATAACACGCAGGCAACCAAAACCAGATGAGAGTGCGCTGCAAGTCCGGAACTGAAAAGGGTGTGCGTTTGTGCGAGTGGTTTTTTTTTGTGATGGCGTGCGCCGTGCGCGTCGGTCTCGCCGAGTCTGTGGCGCTCCTACACCGTGTTCTCGTCCACCTTGGACCGCCTGGGCCTCGGGGGGCGAGGCGGGGGCCAGCATGGCGGCGCGCTCCTCCTTGGGCTCACCTTTCTCCTCGGCCTTCTTCTCTCGCGCCAACAGTTTGTAGTTGATGCCCATCCCCACGAAGAGGAAGAGGCTGGCCACAATCAGGATGACGCCAGACGAGATGTACGTGTAGTCGTAGTGCTGGTAGTAGTTGTAGAAGCTTCCTGCGAGAGGAAACGGGAGGACGTCAGCTCGCAACAAGGGGGCCCGTTTACCGCGACCGCAGTGACGGTTGACTGCCGCCTTCAACCGAGAGTCACGACTGAGACAAATTGCGATTGGTGACATTTCATTCGAGTTGAAAGAAATCAGCAGCAGAAGTCGTGAGCAAGAAGAAGTCAATGACGCCGCTTGTTTTCCAGAGAAGATGGCGAGACGCAGTATGAAGAGTCCTGAACTCCCTCTTTCAACACCGGCGTTGCATTCCAGAAAGCCCCCGCAACATCCAACAAGCCAAATGATTCCACCACGTCTGCGGAAAATAGCAGAGCCGGCCAACTTCAGTGGAGGAGGGGCCCGCAATCTTTCAGCCTCGCTTTTGGCGGGACAACAATGGAGCACACATTGCTTGAAAAAATGCGGACATCTAACGTGCGCTGAATGGACTTCATTAGCGAGCGGCCAGTTTTCAATGCCCCAATAAAAGATTCACACAATTAAAAGATTCCCAATCCGAACGCAGCAACGACGGGGCTTGAAAATGGCGTGCCGGAAGCCCATCCCAGCTGTCTTTGGGTCGGCTGCCATTCTAAAATGGCCCCAAAACGCTGAACAAGAACCCCAAACTAAGAGCAAGAATTCATTTTGCACATTTTTTTTTTCACAAAACAAACAAAAAAAAAAAAACTC